ACATGCCTACCTAATGTTTTTTAAGTGACAAATTAATTAGGGAAAACTCAACATCTTTTAGAAAATTTACCTAGCACTATTATTTTCATCCATAAGGTTAACTCTTAAATTTGTTACATATATGGATGAAAATAATAGTGCTAGGTAAATTTTCTAAAAGATGTTGAGTTTTCCTTAATTAATTTGTCACTTAAAAAACATTAGGTAGGCATGTTATATATCAATGGAAAGGTAATTTTGTCTATTTTTCAAAACTGTATATAATTTTTGAAAATTAAAAAATTCGCGGAATACTTTTTTTAAAAAAAATTAAAAAATGTTTTTTATTCAGTTTTTGCGAAGATACAAATTTTTCAAATTGCAATAAAAATTTTATTTATGAATATTTTTTGATGAAATTTTACAGTTAGGTAGATTTTTTTACTCAAAATCCAAAATTAAATAAAAATTTCGAATTTTCTTATTAGAAATCCCGGAATTCCCAAAAAAGTTTTAAAAAATCCCAAAAATGGGATTTTTTGGTTTTTTGCCTATTATATCCATACCAGGGGCGGGGTTATCGAAACCCGTTACAAAATGATTAAGAACTTATTGGGTCATATAAAACAGGTCACTATAATTTGATATCGACTATGCGATTTGAGAATTTTTGCTCAAAATTTAATTTTCCATAAAAAATAGGGTTTTTTTGGATGGACCTGGTCCCCTCGGTATCAAAAATTTTTAGGTTTTGTTTCATTTATCGTATTTTATGTAAAGTCAGCTTTCCAAAAAGTATAAATTCTATATACATCTTCTTAGAAACTTTTTAGATAACTTAAAAAGAAAAAGATACTTTTTTCCCAAAAAAATGACAAAAAATCGCCTTTTTTTAATTTTTTAAATTTAAATGCCTATAACTTTGGACTCAGTCATGATTTTTACATAATTCTTTCACTGCTTGGTATATAAACTTGTTGTTAAGCAAATAAAAAAAAATGGCGAAAATCGGAAATATTTGGACCTGCTATTATCAAAAAAACTAAAGTAAGGACGGTAAAAATTTTAAAATTTTAATATTCAAATGCGAATATCTCCTAAACTATAAGAGATAATTTACAAATTAATTAGGGAAAACTCAACATCTTTTAGAAAATTTACCTAGCACTATTATTTTCATCCATAAGGTTAACTCTTAAATTTGTTACATATATGGATGAAAATAATAGTGCTAGGTAAATTTTCTAAAAGATGTTGAGTTTTCCTTAATTAATTTGTCACTTAAAAAACATTAGGTAGGCATGTTATATATCAATGGAAAGGTAATTTTGTCTATTTTTCAAAACTGTATATAATTTTTGAAAATTAAAAAATTCGCGGAATACTTTTTTTAAAAAAAATTAAAAAATGTTTTTTATTCAGTTTTTGCGAAGATACAAATTTTTCAAATTGCAATAAAAATTTTATTTATGAATATTTTTTGATGAAATTTTACAGTTAGGTAGATTTTTTTACTCAAAATCCAAAATTAAATAAAAATTTCGAATTTTCTTATTAGAAATCCCGGAATTCCCAAAAAAGTTTTAAAAAATCCCAAAAATGGGATTTTTTGGTTTTTTGCCTATTATATCCATACCAGGGGCGGGGTTATCGAAACCCGTTACAAAATGATTAAGAACTTATTGGGTCATATAAAACAGGTCACTATAATTTGATATCGACTATGCGATTTGAGAATTTTTGCTCAAAATTTAATTTTCCATAAAAAATAGGGTTTTTTTGGATGGACCTGGTCCCCTCGGTATCAAAAATTTAGGTTTTGTTTCATTTATCGTATTTTATGTAAAGTCAGCTTTCCAAAAAGTATAAATTCTATATACATCTTCTTAGAAACTTTTTAGATAACTTAAAAAGAAAAAGATACTTTTTTCCCAAAAAAATGACAAAAAATCGCCTTTTTTTAATTTTTTAAATTTAAATGCCTATAACTTTGGACTCAGTCATGATTTTTACATAATTCTTTCACTGCTTGGTATATAAACTTGTTGTTAAGCAAATAAAAAAAAAATGGCGAAAATCGGAAATATTTGGACCTGCTATTATCAAAAAAACTAAAGTAAGGACGGTAAAAATTTTAAAATTTTAATATTCAAATGCGAATATCTCCTAAACTATAAGAGATAATTTACTGCTACGACGACATTTTTTATAGTGCTATAGAGGAGATTCTATATACGAAATTTTTTTTAAATCGGAACTCAAATGAAGAAATAGGATCGTTTTAAAAATTTAACATAGCCGAGGTGTCCTAATTTGAGGACCCCCCGCCGGGCCCCTGGTTGGCCTATAAGGTCCAAATTCAAAACCTAAACTCGACAACACCTCCTCTTTGTGCATACCAAATTTCATTAAAATCGGATTAACCGTTTAGAAGTTACCGAATTATTTCCCTCTTTTTTTTCCTATACCACTGTGCATCGATTAATAGGTATTCCTACATGAAATTGTTAAAAAAGCTGTTCCACTCTAATATACATACAAAACTAGTACTATTGCATAGTATACCAGACTTAAATTTTTAGCTCTATCGGTCAAGAACTGACGGACTTAGAAGGGGTCAAAGTCGGACATTTTGACCATACAGGGTTTTATTCAAATGAGCGTAATTTTCCACCCATTGGTCCTAGCAAAAATTGTCCAAAGGATAGCTATGTTTTTATTGTTTCCAAAAAAAAAAAAAAATTTAAATTTTAATTTAAATTTGGATGAAATTCGCATCCAAATCGATTTTTTGAGTTGGGTCATTTGACACGAAATTGCCCATATGTATGTATGTACGTAGTGTTTATAAAAAACCGACTTTTGGAAAAACCGGTTTTTCGGTTAACCGAAAATTGACCACTTCTAGAAAACCGGTTTGTCGGTTAACCGAGTATAAAAAAACCGGTTAAACCGGTTAACCGAAATGTTTGGAAATCTTTAAAATATTATAATATTTAGTTGAAAAAGTCATTATTATGAATTACTTAATAAGATATTTGCACTTTTTAGTATAGATATGCACATTAATATATCATAAGAAAACAAACTTATATAGATCTGAAGATATTATTGATTCGTTAGGTATATGGAAGTTGCCATAGGAGGGATAAATTGACCTTTGAATATATAATCCATCTATATCAATAGCAAAAATTATGTGCAGAACTATCAAGACAGTGACCTCCCTTCGCTCGCTACGCCTGTGGTTGTTCAAATTACTGTGAATGACTCTTAGGAATATTGACAGGTGTCATTCTGACTTCCTGTCAATCAACCTAAGCGCCATTACAGTTTGTGAAAAACCCCAGCAGCATAAGTTCTCGGACGGCAACAACAATCCTTATGTTTCGATAAATAAAGTCCGTTTTGAGAACGTTTGTGAAACTTCTCGATTTTTATTATACTCACGCAGTAAACAAGTAAGTGCATCCTGAATTTTACCATCAATGTTATTTATCCGTCTTAATAAATAACAAATTTCTTCATATAATGGTTGGAATTTGTTTAAATAGTTAATTTTTTATTGGTTTAAATGCCAACTTTTTACTAATTTCCTGATTATCTGAAATTGTAAATCTCCATTTTATATACATTACATTTGTTTAACAATCTTAGGTCTGTTTTCATATGCACAAACGGAAATAATGTTTAGAATTATCTATCCAAAATGTTTAAAAACCACAATAAAAAATCAGAGAAAACATACAATTTTGTACCAAAAATTTGTTTTTTTTTGGAACCGGTTAACCGAGACTTAAAACCCGGATAACCCGGTTAACCGAAAACCAATGTTTTAAAAAAACCGGTTTGCGAAAAACCGAAATATGCAATAAAAACCGGTTTTTCGGTTATCCGGTTAACCGGTTTATAAACACTATATGTACGTATGTAGTATAAATATATCCAATGTTGCCATATATGAAGATTTATTCTTCATTTTGTAGTTTTTGAGTTGGTGTGAAGATTAGAAGATTTTTATACCAAAAAAGAAGATTTTTATAAAGTTGGAATTTTGATGTTTTTTACTCTATCAGGAACAATTTTATGTTGTCAGGCCCTTTCGTAGTACCGAAAAAAAGACTTCCAGCCCATAAAGTGCAATGTTGTAAAACTAGAGGCCTTCATTTCTAAACGTAATCGGTTTTGGAAGTTCATTAAATTAGAAAAACGCGTGTCACTAACTAACTTTTTCACCTTCTTTTTATGTTTTTGTCTATAGCTTTAAACATTTAGACAATATTCGTTATTGTATTAACTAAAGACACTTAGGAGATAAAGTCTTTAGAAGCTTATCCGTGTGACATTGCTTTACGTATTAGAACTTGGTTGTTGAAATTTGTCACAAATATCAGTTTTTGGATAGGCACATTCGCACTTACAAATTGAGTTTTTTATTAATTTGAAACATAAATTCGGAAGAGTATGGAAAAATATTGGCTAAGATTCTGTAATTGAATGAATAAATAAATAAAATTCTGTAATTGAATGAATAAATAAATAAAATTCTGTAATTGAATGAATAAATAAATAAAATAAATCATGCTCGTAGAATTCAGATATTAACTGATTTTTTCTTAAATTTTACTAATTCGCAACTTTTCAAAAACTATAACCAACACGCTATAAGAATTATGAAATGAAATATATATATATTCTTTATACAAATTTTTTACGTTACCGAAAGTTTCGTATTACAAAATGAGGGAGTAAATCTTATGGTATGTATTTAAAGCTCTGAATTTTAATTATTTTTACAATAATGTGTGTTGTACTTTTTATGCTTGTGTAAATAAAAGACAACTTTTAATATTAAACTTAAAATCTATTTATTAAAGAATATTACAAAACTATAAAAAAGACGCGTAGTTGAGATGGACGGTTAAAAGCAATTATATAAGTATAATTCAAATGTGACAGTAGTAAATAACAATGCCAGATTGTAAAGTGGTTGACAGGGTTACCCCAAACATCTCCCTTCTTTAAGTTGCTTGAGGTGATCTAGAAATAGGGTCAACTGGTTGTCTACGGGAAACAATACGTTGAGGCTTGCATAGTGGTGAAGTAGGAGGTGTCACAAAGTTGTCCATAGCTACAGGTGAAGCAATCTGGTAATCATTCAGTAGTATATCCAATGGTAGTTGGGAATTTTCCATTTGTAGTGTGTCCTCAGTTGGAGTTCTCAATCTTAGTTGATCTGCATGAGCTCGAACAAGAATTTTACTATCTCCAACATTAATTAAAGTGTTGTAAATTACATTGCCCACTTTTTCTATTATTTCTCCTGGAACCTGATAACTTTTATTGAATCTGAAGTTTTTCGCGTATACCAGGTCTCCGGTGTTATAAATTCTCTTTTTGGTTCCATGCTTTTTGTTGTACTGAGTTTCCATCTTTTCGTCTCGTAACAAAGCATTAGGTACGGGTTTTAATATAACATCGAAAACGGTTCTCATTTTACGTCCTATGAAAGATTCTGCGGGAGAAAGTTTGCTTGGTGAGTTGCGGTAAGGAGTTGAACGGTAGACTTCTAAAAATGTCTGAAGTGCTTCGGCGGACGTTCCTTCCTTATCAGATTTTTTTAAAGCAAGTTTGAGAGTGTCGACAAATTTTTTCCGCCTGGCCATTAGAGCTGGAGTGGAATCTTACAGTCTTGGTGTGTTGGATGCCTCCTTGCATGCACCAAGATTTAAAATTCTCAGAACAGAATTGTGTCCCATTGTCTGAGACAATTTGTTCGGGGTTGCCGAATTGGGAACAAAACTCACTGAGTAATTTTATCGTCGCAAGTGTTGTCATTGTATTTGTCTCGTAAATTGCTGGATACTTTGAGTAAGCGTCTACAATAACTAAGTAATATTTACCTTTCACGGGTCCAGCATAATCGATATGTACTCGTTCAAGAGGACGTGTTGTCAAAGGCCGCGAACAGAGATCTGTTCTTACTGGATTTGTAGCATTAAGTTGACAATTTGCACACTTTTTATTATAGTCCTCAATATCTTTGTCGATATTCGGCCAGTACACATGGCTTCTAGCGATGGTTTTGCTTCTTTCAGCTGAGATGTGTCCTTTATGTAGCTGCTTGAGTATTCTGAGTCGAAAAAATTGTTGGAACTACAATACGTGTTGAATAGTATGACGTCAATTTTTGAGAGTGAATCTCGTCTGTTGTAGAATGGAAGTAATGATGAATCTATACTTTTATTTTCAGGCCAACCATGATTAATGTTGTGAATAACGTTCTGAATAGTAGCATCATTTTTGATTTCCTGAACGACCATGTTGTAAGAAACAGGAATAGCTGAAACAGATTCGTTGAGGTCACTTCTGATATCATTATCTATAGAAATTGATGCGATGATAAAATCATCAGATGGTTTTCATGATTGTCAATGAGACATCACAATACGTCGGCATGCCCAAAATCTTGTGTGTTGGTGTATTTTATCTCGAAGTCGTATGCAAGTAAAATAAGTGCCCAACGTTGTAAACGATTGGCGGTATAAACGGGAATACCCTTCTTGGAACCAAAAATTGTCAATAACGGTTTGTGGTCTGTGTGAAGTGTAAACTTCCTTCCAAAAAGCATTTTGTGAAAACGTTGCACAGTGGTATAGGAAAAAAAAAGAGGGAAATAATTCGGTAACTTCTAAACGGTTAATCCGATTTTAATGAAATTTGGTATGCACAAAGAGGAGGTGTTGTCGAGTTTAGCTTTTGAATTTGGACCTTATAGGCAAACCTGGGGCCCGGCGGGGGGTCCTCAAATTAGGACACCTCGGCTATGTTAAATTTTTAAAACGATCCTATTTCTTCATTTGAGTTCTTATATAGAATCTCCTCATCGAGCATATAAAAAATGTCGTCGTAGCAGTAAATTATCTCTTATAGTTTAGGAGATATTCGCATTTGAAAATTAAAATTTTAAAATTTTTACCGTCCTTACTTTAGTTTTTTTGATAATAGCGGGTCCAAATATTCCCGATTTTCGCCATTTTTTTTTATTCGCTTAACAACAAGTTTATATATCAAGCAGTGAAAGAATTATGTAAAAGTCATGACTGAGTCCAAAGTTATAGGCATTTTAATTTAAAAAATAAAAAAAGGCGATTTTTTGTCATTTTTTTGGGAAAAAAGTATCTTTTTCTTTTTAAGTTATCTAAAAAGTTTCTAAGAAGATGTATATAGAATTTATATTTTTTGGAAAGCTGACTTTACATAAAGTACGATAAATGAAACAAAACCTAAAAATTTTTGATACTGAGGGGACCAGGTCCATCCAAAAAACCCTATTTTTTATGGAAAATTCAATTTTGAGCAAAAATTCTCAAATCGCATAGTCGATATCAAATTATAGTGACCTGTTTTATATGACCCAATATGTTCTTAATCATTTTGTAACGGGTTTCGATAACCCCGCCCCTGGTATGGATATAATAGGCAAAAAACCAAAAAATCCCATTTTTGGGATTTTTTAAAACTTTTTTGGGAATTCCGGGATTTCTAATAAGAAAATTCGAAATTTTTATTTAATTTTGGATTTTGAGTAAAAAAATCTACCTAACTGTAAAATTTCATCAAAAAATATTCATAAATAAAATTTTTATTGCAATTTGAAAAATTTGTATCTTCGCAAAAACTGAATAAAAAACATTTTTTAATTTTTTTTAAAAAAAGTATTCCGCGAATTTTTTAATTTTCAAAAATTATACAGTTTTGAAAAATAGACAAAATTACCTTTCCATTGATATATAACATGCCTACCTAATGTTTTTTAAGTGACAAATTAATTAGGGAAAACTCATCATCTTTTAGAAAATTTACATAGCATTTTTTTTAAAAAAAGTATTCCGCGAATTTTTTAATTTTCAAAAATTATACACAGTTTTGAAAAATAGACAAAATTACCTTTCCATTGATATATAACATGCCTACCTAATGTTTTTTAAGTGACAAATTAATTAGGGAAAACTCAACATCTTTTAGAAAATTTACATAGCACTGGCGAAAATCGGGAATATTTGGACCCGCTATTATCAAAAAAACTAAAGTAAGGACGGTAAAAATTTTAAAATTTTAATTTTCAAATGCGAATATCTCCTAAACTATAAGAGATAATTTACTGCTACGACGACATTTTTTATAGTGCTCGATGATGAGATTCTATATACGAAATTTTTTTTAAATCGGAACTCAAATGAAGAAATAGGATCGTTTTAAAAATTTAACATAGCCGAGGTGTCCTAATTTGAGGACCCCCCGCCGGGCCCCTGGTTGGCCTATAAGGTCCAAATTCAAAACCTAAACTCGACAACGCCTCCTCTTTGGGCATACCAAATTTCATTAAAATCGGATTAACCGTTTAGAAGTTACCGAATTATTTCCCTCTTTTTTTTTTCCTATACCACTGTGCGTTGCACAGCAAATCCATCCTTATCTATTTGGCTGTAGTTCTTTTCGGCTGGTGTTAAGGAACGGGATACATGATGTATGGCTTTGATGCTGTTATCGGGAAAAGTGTGGTATATGACTGCCCCGATACCATGGGAGGATGCATCAGCTGCGACATGTATTGTCAAGTTTGGGTTGTAATGCGTCAGAAGTAATTCTGATGTCAGAATGCTTTTAAATTCGTCTAGAGATCTTTGACACTGTGTTGTCCATTGGAATGGCTGTTCCTTTTTGAGTAAATCATCAATGGGCTTGCGTAAATTTCTTATATGGGAACGTATTTACCGTAATGGTTTATAGAACCTAGCAAGGATCGTACTTCAGTTATATTTTCCGGAATCTTGAGGTTCTGAATTGACTTGATCTTGTCAGGATCTGGTCGTATACAATGACTATTAATAATTTGACCCAAATATGTAATTTGTGGTTTAAAAAATCAGCACTTTTCAAATTTAAGATGAAATCTGAATTCTTGAATGCGCTGCATTAATTTATCAAGATTGATTTTATGTTCAGAAATAGACTTACTTGATAACATTATATCATCTATATAAGCTTTTGCACCATTAATGCCAGCACAGAGCTGGTTCATTATACGTTGGAAGGCCACTGGGGCGGATTTTATACCTGGTGTGAGCCGGTTGAATTTGTATAAACCCTTGTGGGTGTTAACAGTAAGCAAGTCCTTACTTTCGTCATCGACTTCAACTTGAAGATAGGCGTCTGACAAGTCTAAGTGTGTAAACACGGTACTGTCGTGACAGTGTGATATTTCCTCAGGCATTGACAAAGGATATTGGTTTGGCTCTATCATATTGTTGAGACCGGTAGAGTAGTCTCCACAAATTCTTGTCTTACCATTTCTTCGGCTAACAACGATTGGTGCAGCCCATTTAGATGTATCTACGGGAGTAATTATACCTGCATCTTCAAGTCTTTGAAGCTCAGTTTCGATTTCCGTCCTGACAGCATAGGGAACAGTACGTTTGGGTATATATACTTCCTTACAGTTCGGTAGTAGTTGTATACGGACTTTGGTGGTACATAGTCCTAATGACGAATTATCAAATACGGCAGGGTATTTTACCTTGATTTCAGAAATTTAAAATTTAATCTGACGACACCAAGCTGATATTGGTTGATCCCAAAGCTTAAATGATTCGATCCAATTTATGCCCATAATATTCAATTCTTCGATGTCAGTAATGTAGCATTGAAGGTCCATTGTAGCATCGCCGTGAGAAACAAAGCAATTGAATTTGGCGAGAAGATTGATTTTGTTAGTGTTGACTTCGTTGGCGCTGTCATTGGTAGTGAATGCCTCAGGCTTACCAATAGTTTCCCAAGTTGTTGTTGATATTATTGATATGTCAGATGCAGTATCAATCTGTAATCGAACGGGTTGATTATTAATCCCCAATTCAATGTATTTGCGTAGTTCTTGGAACTGTAACCGTTTTGTAGAATATACGGCGTTGGTGCGGTAGCTTGACTTTGAAGTGTTGAACTTCTTTGGCGTTTTAGTTTTGATGTTGCCGTTGTTATTGTCAGTGTAATTTGTTTTGGGTGTATAACCATTTTTAGAACTGGCACAATAATTGCCTTTATGTCCCATTTGATTTGAACACTTGTGCTTGTTAAATGGACAGAACTTGACATAATGTAGGTCTCCACATAGCCAACATGGTAGTTTCGGTACCTTAGTAGTAGGCTGGGGCTTTTTCATGGACTTACCAATAGCACATACACTTTTTGTTTGATGTTCAATCATGGTGTTGTCGGTTTTGAGATCGAGAATTATCTGCGTTTCGTCCACAAGTTGATCTAGATTCATGGAATCCTTTGAGTCATCTAGTAGTTTGAGTAAACGTATGCGAATGTTGTTATCTTTGCCGGACTTGAGACCCAAGACGAAAATAACACATTTGAATTGGTCAATTTTCATTTCGCCCAATTTGAATAGTTCACATTGTAGGTTTACTTTACTGGCGTATTCTCGGAAATCCTCATTATCACCTTTTGCAAGTTGTAAACATTTATAGCGCTGGCTAACCTCTGTGTCTACTTTACCGAAGAGTTTGTTGAGTTTTTCCACTGTCGCCTTGAGAGTCATCTCAGAAGGCTTTTTTGGTAACACGTAGTTTTTAAAACGTTCGTGTACACGGTCGGACATTTTTCTCCAGAGAAGTGCAATCTTGTCTTGTTCTTCAAGAACGCTAGCTTCTCTTTCGAAGACGTGTATAAAACGATTATACCATGCCTGGAAAACTAATCCGCTTTCAGGCTCATAGGCAAAATCTGTCATAGAGTGTGTGAGGGATCCATTAATGCTGGTGCTTGCTTGTTGGTCTGCTGACAAACGTTTTGTTGATTCTTGTACTTGGAGGAGTTTTGCTAGAAAATCCATCATCTGCGTCTGCTGCGCCATAAGTTGAACAATTTTGTCGTCGGACATTATTGCGTTTTAGTCTACTTTCCAGCAACAAATTAGGATTATGTCGTTTTCGCGAAAAATTAAGTCATTAATTTCCGATTTTCACTCGTCGCCACTTTTGTTGTACTTTTTATGCTTGTGTAAATAAAAGACAACTTTTAATATTAAACTTAAAATCTATTTATTAAAGAATATTACAAAACTATAAAAAAAGACGCGTAGTTGAGATGGACGGTTAAAAGCAATTATATAAGTATAATTCAAATGTGACAGTAGTAAATAAGAATGCCAGATTGTAAAGTGGTTGACAGGGTTACCCCTAACAATGTGCAATTTTTATTCAATATAACATAATATGTAACATATTATGTAAATACTTTTTTTAAGAATTTTTTGAAATATTTAGTTGAAACTCGCTATCACTTGTGGGCCCCTCTATCAAAATGGTTAACGCGAACATATATTAACATTTGGAATGTGCCATTTTATTTTTATTAACTTTTAAAAAACTTTGATAATTGTCCATATATTTATGCATTCGAATGTGGTACTTATTTCAATTTTGTTTATTTCGTTTAATATGTTAATACTTTTTACAATTGGCTTATACACATTAAAGAGTTTAGAAACTTTGTTTCTTTTCTACTTAAGGGCCCTTCAGACGATCACACTTTACGTACGACAAGTCTAATGAAAAAGTAAAATGAAATTCCATCCGTATGACAAAAAAGAGAATAAAAGTCGTATGATTTATATTTTTTGTGTTTACACGATTGGTATAAAACAATAAAAAAAGTAAGATGGAAACAGTTGTTTCACTTTTTTTGTATGTGTTTACATAAAAATACATCCCTGATCTAATGCGACTTGCTTGTTTTTTAAATCATTTCAAAAAATGAAGAGAGCCATACGACTGCCAAATTTTCCATCCGTATTTTCTCTCAATGTCTGATGGTTTTATTACTTTAGTAGTTACCAGGGTACACTAAACAGGTATATGCATCACTACAACACTACAAAAACAACATGTATTTTGTTTTTGTACTTGTATGAGCTCAATGTCAAAATAAATACAAATATTTTTTTAAGTTAATCTTAAAAAAAATGCAGTGATTTTAAATGGAATTTTAAGGGATATACATACATGTTTATATACTTATATTAAGCTGTGTATATGGATCCTGTTTAGCTCCAACAAGATTCCCAAGATTTTTTATAAAAATAAAACAAAGAATATTTCAAATTTATTAGAGATGAAGATCTCTTTTTATTTCAACCAAAATATTACCTCGTAGAACTAGATGGTTTTCATAAGTAATATGCACGTAGTGCTTGTGTCGTAGAGAAATCAAAAGTGATTAATAATGTCAAAACGAATCAAGCATAAATTTGGTGGCAAACAATATTTAAGCACCGTTAGCGGTTAGAATCTTCCAACAAAGTTGCAATAAAGAGGAGCTTTATAAGATTCTAACGTTGTTATAAAAAGTAGTTACATCAATTCTAACTTAAACAGATCCTATTGGTAAATGTTATAGAGGACTTGGCAGAGGACCTGGCAATGGACCAAAAAAAAGCAAGATTTTTAATATCTGGAATAACCAGATTTGTGCCACTTAATTTGTATCTTTAGCTACCAAAGATTGGCTAACGAAAGTGGACCAGGCAACGGCCGCAATACTAAAGATTGTTGATATATGAATTGGCCTGATTTGTGCCAATAAAGTTGTGTCGTGGCTACCAAAGTTTGGCTAACGACAACGGCCTTGGCAACGTGGGGCAATATGGAGGAGTGTTGATATCTGGAATGACCTGATTTGTACCATTAAAGTTCTGTTCTAAACGGATAAAGTTTGGCTAAAGACAGCGGACCTAACAAAGGGCGCAATGCGGAAGATGCTTGAAATTAATTTTTTGTGCAAACTTGTTACAATAATTTCAAATATACAAAACCAAATTTTGACAGAGAAGGTATGCAAATAAGAAAACAAAAAAATTATCAGCTGTTCAATTGCATATACATACCTGTTTAGTGTACACTGGTAGTTACATTTGAATTTTGTGAGCTTTTAGTAAGATTTTTAATATACAGAAAGGAAGGAAAAATTTATAAAACCCTTTATGAAATGGTTGTTAAAGGGTAAAAATTTATACTAGAGTATATTGAGTATAGGTTTATTACTGGAGTTCATTTATATGTAAATATTGAGAGAACTGGCATCTCCTGTTGAAGTTTATGGTTAATCTATTTATCTTATCTTGAACAAGTTCAATGCCAGATAGCGTGTGGAGTCGTTGTTGAAAATAATGCCAAGGAAGATTATATTAATGAAAGACCAATGAAATATACATAAGCGTTTCATTGAAAGAATGTGGTTTATTTTTGACATATAAATATCGGATTTTTACAGCTTCTAAAGATAAGATTAGATGTAGTTCAAAGTTGTCAAAAATGAACCACAGCCCTCCAATGACACGCTAATGTAATATTCATAGGTTTTTCACCTGAATTTGAAGCACTTCGGGTTACTAGTTGCCAGCAAAAAATAATTGATGTCATACTTTACAAACAACATCTTAATCACATCTAAAAATGCGATTACATATTTTTCGCTTTTATAAACCAAATATTTCTTTACAAATAAAAACCGAGTTAAAAGTGAGGAAAGAGATGTTGAAAAGTCACTACAAATAACATATTCGAAGTACATCAAATTTTAGTGAAAAACCAATGAAATTTACATAAGCGTGTCATTGAAAGAATGTGCTTTATTTTTGACATCCAAATATCGGATTTTTACTGCATCTATGAATAAGATTAGATGTAGTTCAAAGTTGTCAAAAATGAACAACATCCCTCCAATGACACGCTAATGTAAAATTCATAGGTTTTTCACCAAAATTGGAAGTTATTTGTGGTGAAAATTCTACTTCTTTTTCCTCACTTTTTTTGCTGGGTTGTGATGAAAATTCTACATACAGTGAATCAACTAAGTTTTTTGCCTACCTTTTTTTAAGAGAATTTTGTTTTTTGTTCATAAATAAAATTCAAAAAAACAGGTAAAAAGTCAATCTATGTTTTCCAATTGAAAATAGATATTGTGTAGAATGGGAAAACCAAGAAAAAAATATTAAAATAAAAATTTTGGTGCATTTATTGTTGCATTTTATTATTTTTCATCAGAATTTGCACGTCAATAAAGTATTTTGCATATTGAAAATTCCAGTTAATTTCGTTGGGTTTTTCAAATTATTTTTTAATTGCTTTTTGGAATTTATTGTTTTATTGTTAAAAGGACACGTGTTTAGTATTTTTCAATTGTAATTTTTAAAAATCATATCCTTATTGTGTGAAACTGTGTAGTTATTTGCGTTAAAAATGTTTAAAGGGAAATAATGAGGCAATTCCAATATAAAAATTAGTTTAGATTCTTAAAAAAAGTGTAAATCAAAAACTATCCAGATCCAACTATGCCTACTGAATTTTATTTATAAAATAAAGCATTCAAAATATGAGGTAGAAAATCAAGATTTTAGCATGTAATAGTTCTATAGTGGTATACGGTGATATCCCCATACTTGTTAGCTTTATTGAATAAGAATCAATATTATACAATTCTAAAAAAAATACACACAGTACTCCCCAAATAGATGGGGTTTCCGTAATGTAGTTTTTGTTTATCAATACAAAATGACCAAAAACCCAGATTATTTTGTTAAAATATGTAGTTTCATACCCCACTAAACATTTTTTCTAGGTCCAAATCCACTGATTTCTAGTATATCATGTATTCTTTTCAAAATTACTTATTATTTTCGAAATAAAATCAAAGAAACAATAGATTTCATGTTAAGTCAAATATTGATAAAATCTTATAGGTATAAAGGATAATAAATCGGTTAAAGAAATGTCCAAATTTAGTCGTACCACTACTTAAATACAGTAAAACTTCGATATAACGAACCTCGTTATAACGAAAAACTCAATATAACGAATTATTTTCTGAGTCCCTTGAAAAAACCTCTTTATTGCAAAGTTTTTCATACAAAAATGCACTATAGCTATAACGAAGAAATACTAAGTCATAAAACCTCTATATAGCGAATAATTCTTTCAAAAGCCTTAATACAACGAATTAATAATAAACCAAAATTACATTTAAAGCAAAATCAGTCCCGTTACAAGAACAACGAAGTCTAAACGTGTGGCTATGCAAAGCCTCTATATAGCGAAGTATTCATTCAAAAGCCTCTATATAACGAAGTGAGAATAAAACAAAATTAAATTTTGAGTAAAGTTAGTCCCGATTCAAAAACAACAAAGACTAAATCTGTTTGCAATTGTCATTAGCCTCTATATAGCGAAGTACTCATTCAAAAGCCTCTATATAACGAAGTCTTAGTAAAGCAAAATAAAATTGTAAGCAAAGTCCCGTTACCAAAAATTTTTAATAGTGGACACATGCGTAATACGTCATAAAACTAGTCAGTTTTGTTTTGATTCTTGTCAAAATGAGTTCATTAAAGCGTAGATCAATTTCTATAGGTGAAAAGATTTCTATAATTGATGCCGTTGATCGTGGTGACAAATCTAAGCAAGAAATTGCTAAACAGTTTAATATAGCGCCAAGTACTCTTTCTACAATTTTAAAAAATCGAGAGACTATTTGTAACAATAAAACTTTAAAGTGCAAAAGAATGCGTTTTGCTGAATATGAAGACGTTGAGCAATGTGTATCTAAATGGTTTAAACAATGTCGAAACCAAAACATTCCTTTAGGAGGAAATACGATAAAAACAAAAGCAGAAGAGTTTGCAGGACTTTTGGGACACAAAGATTTTAAAGCTAGTAACGGTTGGCTTGATAATTTTAAAAAACGCCATGATATCGGATTTCGAAAAGTGAGTGGAGAAAGTGCCAGTGTAAGTGATAAAGTTTGTTCTGATTGGAAAAAACTGTTACCAAGTTTGTTAGCAGAATATGAACCGCACAATATTTTTAATGCAGACGAAACTGGATTATTTTTTAAATGCGCTCCAGATCGAACAATGGCGTTCAAGTCCGAGAAATGTCACGGTGGAAAACACAGTAAAGAAAGACTATCCATTCTATTTACTGTTAACATTACAGGCTCTGAAAAGAGAAAATTGCTTGTAATCGGAAAATCGGCCAATCCAAGATGTTTTAAAAACGTAAAAAGTTTACCAGTTGACAACGATATGACTAAAGCCAATCGTAAAGTCTTATTGTTTGTCGATAACTGCACGGCACATAAAAATGTTCCATCACTTAAATCCATTAAATTACAATTTTTGCCACCAAACGCAACATCGAAACTACAACCTCTAGATTTGGGAATAATAAAGAATTTTAAGCAATTTTATCCCAAAGAGGTGGTCAAAATTTTAATCAACGATCTGGAAGAGGGGCGAAAAAGCTCTATAAATATTTTACAAGGAATAAGAATGGCACACAAAGCATGGGAAAGTGTTCAAAAATCAACAATTTTTAATTGCTTTGCGACTTGTGGCTTTGTCGAGCGCTCTGATATTTTAATTACAGAAAATGTTTGCATTCAAGACAGCGAAGAATGGCTTATTCTCAAAAACCATTTTAATTTAACAGAACAGTTTGATGATTTTGTGAATTTCGATGACAATATTACTTCCACTGGGTCCCTTACCGATGATGACATTATTATTAGTGTAACGAAACTACAAGATAATGGAGAGCAGGAGGAAGAGGAAACTGAAGAAATGGAAAATATTGTAACAGCTAAAGAAGCAAAAATAATTATCGGAAAACTGCAAACATTTCTGGAGGCACAGGATTCTACACCACTAAGTACATTCAATAGCTTAGCTTCAGTCGAAAAAAGTATTGATGATTGTATTAGAAACTTTCGTAAACAAACTAAAATAACACAATATTTTACTAAAATCTAATAAAATAATAAATAAAAAAATTAAATATTTAATTTTCTATTTTATTTTTAAATACATAGTGCATTTTTATTAATACTTTCGAGTAAATAGAATTTGTATAAAAAAACTATAGTTATAACGAATTTTTTTCGTATATCTTCTAATTTCGTTATACCAAGGTTTTGCTGATACATATTTATAACGAATAAGTGGATATAACGAAGTATTTTGCGATCCCCTTCAGATTCGTTGTATCGAAGTTTATCTGTATCTATAAAATTTTATTTTAATATACAGGAGTAATAAAAATGTAAAATTGTATAAAATTATACAGCAATATTAAAAAAATAAACAAAAAACCAAGTTTAGTTTAGTTTAAAAGGGTTGTATACCAAAAAAATGGTATACATCCACTCGGAGACCCAGGAGGGTCCATTGTGATTCCCTTTAAGAAGAAACAAGAAAAATAAATAGAAAGAAGATAGAAAAGCCGGAGAGATAAGTTTGAAATTACTGAATTCCTATCCTAATAGAGAAAGAATGTTGATAGTATTGGAAGGGAATTCTACGAGGTCCGGCGCCTAAATAGCCAATCCACTCCCCTGACAAAACCTAGAATGTCGCCTGTACTACACCTAGATACATCTCCTAGATCATCATGGAATGTTTTTCCTAGCCATTTCCGCCTCAGACTCTGTACACCAGGACAGTCACACAAAATATGTTCTACTGTCTCTAGCTCCTCTTCGTCCTCACACAACCTACAAAACTCCTGTGTGTTAAAGACCCAATTACCCAAAAAGGCTCCTATTGCGCAGTGACCGGTTATCACCCCTACTAGAATTCTAATACTCCTCCTGTCCAATCCTAATAGTGTTCTGGTTGCCTTGGCATTCAACCTCGGCCATAAGGCTTTGGATACCCTGCAATCCATCGTACTATGCTAGGATTGGTTGGAGGAGTTCCTGAATTTGTCGGAAATTAACCTATAATAGTAGCAGATAGGAGGTTTCATCGACCTAACTCCACTATTATTGTCCAGATCTGACCCTTGTCTGGCCAGTTCATCTGCGATCTCATTACCCTGTATATTACAGTGCCCTGGAACCCAACACAACCTGATTGTATACAACTCAGATAGCTCGCGGATAGCATCCCTGCAGCTGCTTACTAATCTGGAATGAACAAAAAACCTAAAAAAGCAAAATACTTTATTGACCTAAAAAATTAACAATACGTTCACATTTTATCAAAAATCTCGTTAGTTAATATCACGATTTTACTTTTTTGGTAGAAAATTAAAATATAAGATATTCTTTAAAAAACACAACAAACAAATTGCTTAACTTTGAAAAAAATAATTGTTCAGACAAAGTTTTTTCTTAAAATTTATAAAATTTTACATAGGCAAATTACTTAATTGATTCACTGTATTTTTCCACACTTTTTTTGCTGGGATATTAATTTGTTGATTTTATCTAATAAATGTGGTATATGATTATTAAAGTTGAGTTTTGGATTAAGTATTATTCCCAAGTACTTGACGTTGTCTTCCCAACTTATGATTCATGAATCGTAGAGGGTTTTTTGGAATACATATGTATTTGTCCTGTTTTACATTTCAATATTGTTATGGTGGTATTTTTACCTTAACAGCTGTTTCTACGATAACTTCATCCTTATCATCATCATCGATTGTTTGTAGAGGAGTATAATATTTTTGGTAGACAGTTCTCTGAGAGCTGTTTGTTATTTGTTTTTTGATGCCTCTTCTAGGCACACAACATCACCGACTCTTCTTCGTTTAATTTTGTTATTTTTTATATTTGAATTTAGTTATTGTGAGATCACAAAAAGTAACCGTAAACTTGTAGAAAAAAATTAGGTTTAAAGAAACACAGTAAATCACGTCTTTGCACATCAAGTGGTAGTGAATGAATGATAATTTACTTATATTTGTTCTAAAATTAATCAAAAGTTTTTATACACATAGAAATATTAGCATATATTGCGAATATATTGTATTTTTTCAAACTTGAATGGACTATATCACTTTCAACAATAATTTTCTAATTATCCTTTTTATTAAACAGTTAAAATATCACATATGTATATGTAGTAAAACCTAAACCTAAAGTTTCGAAAGTGGTCATACCACTTTCAAAATTAACAGTTAATATATAACCATCTTTTAACATCGATGTTTATAACTTTGTAAACTGAATTCTACAGTCTTTTCATAAAGATTCTAAGACTTTTCAATAACAGCGTTTTTGAGTCTTCAATATTATCAGTAACTAATAAAATACTTTCCTCAAAGTAGTTATTAATCCAATTCAATTTCTTCTATTGGGTCTTCAAGATTTCAATCAAATAAATCAAGAAAATCTAATTGTTAATTTGGGAAATTGACATGTAGAAATTTATGTATATAGGACAATTAAAAAAAACACAAAATTCTTGTAATGAATAATACAATAACTCCACTAAAGGTGGATGGTACCGAAATAATGAAGTAAAAACATAATAAAAACTTCATTCATACGTAAAGAGAACAAAAATTCCTATAACAAAGCCTCATTCGTACTATCGAATAGAAAAATTGGGCATCTATTCGTCTATAGAGTAGACAATGCAAAAATTTTGTATTCGTATATATGAACTGCATAGCGCTCAACAGTTCGACAAAGAGTCAATGCATCCGAAAAAGAAAGTGATTTCCACTAACGTCTAACCACCTGGTTGGCTCTAATTCGTCTTTCGTCACGGATGTACTCTTTGTAAACGAGGGTGAAGATAATCGTCACTTTAGTGTCCCCATAAGCTTTTTGTCTGTTTCTTCGTAATCAATGGGGTGACGATTGATTCCTCGTAGGACAAGCACATGTTAAGATAGCTAGTCACCTGGGCAGCCGGTGGCTAGGGGTAACCCTAAGTGGTATGTTAAATAGGTAGTTCGAGACTGTCCGACCGAACTGCTGGGTACTTATTCACTAACATTTTTTTTAAATTCAATTTTTTTTGAAACATTTCTTGGACCAATAGGTGAAAAGTTACACTCATTTGAATAAAACCCTGTATGACCAAAATGTCCAAATTTGACTCACTTTAAGTCCGGCAGTTCAGAGAGGGTCATGCTCAAAATTTTTTTATATTACATATGAGAAAATTTTACTGAAAAAAGCTAAGTTTAAAATGCCTATAAATTAACAATACGACCTAACTTTTTAAAACCCCTTGAGGAATTGCTTCTATTAATTGTCTAATTTCAGATTTCAAAGTGCCTTCTAAGTCGAGTGAAACACAATTGCGCGCTAGATTAGGCATTTGATCCACTCTGGCATGGACTAATAAATAAATTAAGACCCATCCAAACAAAATTGATATTTTTTGGGCACCTTTAGTATTCATATTTTAACCAAAAGCAAATTTTATTTTCAGGTGATATGGAGGACTATAAATTCCTTTTTAAAATTGTGCTTGTTGGTAATGCTGGGGTTGGTAAAACATGTCTAGTTAGACGTTTTACGCAAGGTCTGTTCCCTCCAGGCCAAGGAGCAACAATTGGGGTTGATTTTATGATAAAGACAGTTGAAGTCGATGGTGATAAAATAAAGGTATATTAATGTTAATTAATAAATTCCAGTTTATTGATACTCTATATAATTTCTAATTTCAGTTACAAATTTGGGATACTGCTGGACAAGAGCGATTTCGATCTATTACTCAAAGTTATTATAGATCCGCACACGCTTTGATTCTTGTTTATGACATTAGTTGTCAACCTACATTTGATTGCCTTCCGGATTGGTTACGAGAAATACAGGAGTATGCCAACTCTAAAGTATTAAAGATTTTAGTGGGAAATAAAACTGATAGAGATGACCGCGAAATTCCTACCCAAATTGGTGAAGAATTTGCAAAACAACACGACATGTACTTTTTAGAGACATCAGCAAAAGAAGCTGAAAATGTAGAAAGATTATTTTATGAAATCGCCGCTGAGTTAATTGATCAGGCTCGAAGTAAAGACGGTTCATCTATAACTAATAAAAATTCTGGTGATTCTATAGGGCTGTCTTCTCTTGGTGCAAAGGCGTCTCAGAGCAGCTGCTGTAGTAGTTTTACCAATAACTCTAACGTCAATAATGTACCAAATAATATGACTTAAGATATGTATTAAATATAGGACATTTTAATGTGAAAACGGGGATATCGCAATACGGCATACTAACTAAATTATAATAATTTTTTTATTTATCTATTGTTGTTAATACTCTCAGGTATTTTTTGTGCGGTAAATATTTATCAAATAAAATCGCATAATTAAAATCTGCTTGAAAATATTACACCAGCCAACAAAAAATGCTTCACTTAAAAGCAAAATGTATAATTAAAAAAAAAAAAACACATAAGAGTTAGTATGTATATCAAAATATATGTTTTTTAATTCAATTTCGGTGCGTTCCATTAATTGGATGTAAAAGTTACTCGTTAATCGCTTAATGTGAAATTTTAAGAATTAAGTTAAACATTATTTTTTTCATTAGTTGTGCAAAACTAATTTGCATTAAAAATGTGATTCCACAAATACTTCAATATGGCAGTATGTACTCATTATAGTTTGTATACAAAACATTTTCATTCAGAATAAGAAAACTTCATAAATAGCATAATAATGTTTTTTTTTTCTTCAATATTTAATAATAAATCATTATAGAGGTCTATTATCTACTTATATATTCTATATTTTTTACACACCATCCATCTACTAACGATTTTGTTAAGATAAACAGATAAAATCAGAAATTATAAAGTACCTCGACCATAGTTAAGCATCCATTCTTCATAAAAACTTGTAAAATTCAACAAATTTTGTTGAAAAATATTTGAATTTCTCTTTGGTTTTTTTTTTATTTCGTTATAATTTTTAGACTGCAAATGAAATTTGCAGGGCTCTAATATGTAGTATGCATTGTATAGTAAATATACAATTTCTTTAAATATTTTTTCCGTAAGATTGTAAAAATAGCTTTATAAACTATTTGGGATAATTTTTAACTAATAAGTTACATAGATAAGAAGTACATGATTCGCAAAAATGTCAAATATCATCCCGATCGGAAGACATCGGTTTATAATTAAACATTGTGAGTAAAGGTTGAACCCACCAAAATCGAAGAATTTTTAATCGTTGATATCATCAAAACTAATTGTGAAATCAAAATAAAATTTTGGATTTAAATAGCTTATAGCATCTTAATTTTATTCCAATTAATAGATTTTTAATTGTAAATCTCGTTTTCAGCTTATTCGGAGAAAACTAATTTTGCACGGATATGATAAAAATGAAAATAAAACGCTAAATTATAATATTCCATGATAGGGAAAATTATTAAAAATATTATGTAGCTTTTGTCCACATTATTTTAAGTAGAAAATAAAGACCAAATTTACAAAAAAGCCACCAATTTGTTCTTGTATTCTATATCAACATCTGTTTTTACACGTGGTAAAATTCATGGAGGAAAATGCTTTGAAAATCGGATGTTACCATTTGTATGATTTTACACTACAAGGGCTTTATTTTATCTAAACCTATCCATTTGTCATTATTCCAGAGACACAATTAAATGATCTATGAAATGAAATGAATTAAAATGAACAAAAAATTCGACTTTGTACTAAAGGAAAATAATCCCTCAAATTAACCATTATTACGTCCGATAAACAAATATTGGTCAATTATGAGAGGCCACAAAAGTCTCATGCAAAATCAACTTTTTTCGTTTAAGCTATGAAGCTTACCACATGAAATATTAAAAATCTATTTATTGGCTATTCAAATCCAAAATTTTATTTTAATTGGTCAATTAGCTTTGTAGATATAAACGATTAAAAATTTTTTCAATTTTGGTGGGTTCAACCTTTACTATCAAACAGACCTGGGATAAATGTATTAGATATGTTAATGCATTTATAACACGGTGTGACAAAATTAGAAAAAATCAATACACTCATCGCGAGACCTAGTGAAGTTTGTAGGTCTAGTAGAGTAGATTACAGTACCATTGTTAGAATCTTCAACATACCCCAAAAAATCGAAAGATATTGAAAAAAAAACATTTTTTTTGAGTAGACAGGCTAAAAAATTATATATCAAAATTTTGTTATTCGATTTAATATATTTCAACTTTTTAAAAAGTACACACACTTTTATATTTTTTACGGAAATGTGTAAAATATTTAGATCTAAATACAAGTTTTTATATATTTTTAAAATTTTTTTACAATTCAAGATCATTTTTGACCCACACTTTATTTGAAAACATATTTTTTTAATATTTTTTATTTTAGCTCATACTTTTATTTTGAAATCAGGGCCCAAATTACGTCATACGATATCGACCGAAATCTCAATAGAATCTAAATGGAGATTTCAATCGATATCGTATGTCGTAATTTGGGCCGATTCAAAAACTGACAAAAATAGATTTTTTTTTCACATTTCCGTAAAAAAAGTGTGTGTACTTTTTAAAAAGTAGAAAGAAAACACTTTTCAAAAAAGTTGAATGATATTAAATCGGTTAAGAAAATTTTGAGATATAATTTTTTAGTCTGGCAAGTCAAAAAAAGGCGTTTTTCCAATATCTTTCGATGTTAAGGGTATATTGAAGATTCCAAAAATGGTAAAATGATCCATGCATGCATTAACATTAACTTGTGCATATTTAATGCATTAATTTTGCTACACTAACGTACTTAATATGTTTGTTCAGCTCCAACAAGATTCCCAAGATTTTTTATAAAAATAAAACAAAGAATATTTCAAATTTATTAGAGATGAAGATCTCTTTTTATTTAAACCAAAATATTACCTCGTAGAAGTAGATGGTTTTTATAAGTAATATGCACGTAGTGCTTGTGTCGTAGACAAATCAAAAGTGATTTTTAATGTCAAAAACGAAACAAGCATAAATTTGGTGGCAAACAATATTTAAGCACCGTTAGCGGTTTACTCGCTAGAATCTTCCAACAAAGTTGCAATAAAGAGGAGCATTATAAGATTCTAACGTTGTTATAAAAAGTATTACAAAAAAAGTAGTTACATCAATTCTAACTTAAACATTGCCGGCCACCTTGCAATACATAAGGAATTTCAAACGATTTAACGATTTTAACGAAGTCTCTCGACTTTCCTCACAGAACCTAAGTCCCGCCGGTGGATTTTAAAGAAGTCTCTCGACTTTCCCCACAGAACCGAAGTCCCGCAGGTGGATTATTATGTAATATAAGCAATGTAAGATATATAAAGATAATAAATAAGAAGGTAAAAACATAAATAAGGTAGTAGGAACATAAATATATTTCTGTGAGCGTTTTAAAGTGATAATAAATTAAAGGTTAAAAAGCGTTAGACCACGTAGAATACGTTAAATTGTCGATATATGTTTCGAAGTCCCTAGGATTAGCTGGACCTGTCAGTATCCAACCAAATATAGTTTTCTGTGCCAATAATGACCCTAATACGTTTTGTTGTATTCAAGGTAAAATAAATCGCGGATATAAATCTGCTCCGATAAGAATATCTACAGGCCTACTAGTAAAGAGATTAGAATCCGCCAAACAAAGATTTGGCAATATTTTTTCAATATCAACATTTACAGAAGTCGAAGGCAAATTTCCCGTTATTTCTGATAAAACAAATGCGTTAGTTGATAGTTTTATTGAAGAATCTAAATCTGAACTAATTTCCAAAGGACAAAATTTTGTAACTCCAAAAATAACATTATTAACGCCAGAAACGTTAGAATTCGCAGAATGAGTGGGAAGTTTTAATCTTTTTCGTAAACGTTCAGAAACGAAAGAACATTCTGAACCCGAATCTATTAAAGCACGGACCTGATACTTATGGCTGTTATGAATTATGTTTTCCATTGCAGTCCCTAACAAAACGGATTGATTCTGTCTAGTATGAAATACTTGAGAATTAGAAGTAACATTATTAGACGTACGCGATTTTCGAGTGTCGTAGTTAGTGGGTCGTAGAACCTCACTGGAATTATGTTCAGTAGAAACAGTAGGTTTTTCAACTAAAGAATTATCTGTATGCTGCTGATGAAGCATAGAATGATGTCGATTATTACAAATAAAACAGTTATTATTGATTGTACAACATCTGACTTTATGTGTCCTCGAAAGGCAATTAGTACAGCACACAGTGGTATAGGAAAAAAAAAAGAGGGAAATAATTCGGTAACTTCTAAACGGTTAATCCGATTTTAATGAAATTTGGTGTGCACAAAGAGGAGGTGTTGTCGAGTTTAGGTTTTGAATTTGGACCTTATAGGCCAACCAGGGGCCCGGCGGGGGGTCCTCAAATTAGGACACCTCGGCTATGTTAAATTTTTAAAACGATCCTATTTCTTCATTTGAGTTCCGATTTAAAAAAAATTTCGTATATAGAATCTCCTCATCGAGCACTATAAAAAATGTCGTCGTAGCAGTAAATTATCTCTTATAGTTTAGGAGATATTCGCATTTGAATATTAAAATTTTAAAATTTTTACCGTCCTTACTTTAGTTTTTTTGATAATAGCAGGTCCAAATATTTCCGATTTTCGCCATTTTTTTTTATTTGCTTAACAACAAGTTTATATACCAAGCAGTGAAAGAATTATGTAAAAATCATGACTGAGTCCAAAGTTATAGGCATTTAAATTTAAAAAATTAAAAATAGGCGATTTTTTGACATTTTTTTGGGAAAAAAGTATCTTTTTCTTTTTAAGTTATCTAAAAAGTTTCTAAGAAGATGTATATAGAATTTATACTTTTTGGAAAGCTGACTTTACATAAAATACGATAAATGAAACAAAACCTAAAAATTTTTGATACCGAGGGGACCAGGTCCATCCAAAAAAACCCTATTTTTTATGGAAAATTAAATTTTGAGCAAAAATTCTCAAATCGCATAGTCGATATCAAATTATAGTGACCTGTTTTATATGACCCAATAAGTTCTTAATCATTTTGTAACGGGTTTCGATAACCCCGCCCCTGGTATGGATATAATAGGCAAAAAACCAAAAAATCCCATTTTTGGGATTTTTTAAAACTTTTTTGGGAATTCCGGGATTTCTAATAAGAAAATTCGAAATTTTTATTTAATTTTGGATTTTGAGTAAAAAAATCTACCTAACTGTAAAATTTCATCAAAAAATATTCATAAATAAAATTTTTATTGCAATTTGAAAAATTTGTATATTCGCAAAAACTGAATAAAAAACATTTTTTAATTTTTTTTAAAAAAAGTATTCCGCGAATTTTTTAATTTTCAAAAATTATATACAGTTTTGAAAAATAGACAAAATTACCTTTCCATTGATATATAACATGCCTACCTAATGTTTTTTAAGTGACAAATTAATTAGGGAAAACTCAACATCTTTTAGAAAATTTACATAGCACTATTATTTTCATCCATAAGGTTAACTCTTAAATTTGTTACATATATGGATGAAAATAATAGTGCTAGGCAAATTTTCTAAAAGATGTTGAGTTTTCCCTAATTAATTTGTCACTTAAAAAACATTAGGTAGGCATGTTATATATCAATGGAAAGGTAATTTTGTCTATTTTTCAAAACTGTATATAATTTTTGAAAATTAAAAAATTC